CATGCCTGTAATCCCAGCACTTTGAGAGGCCACGGCGGGCAGATCAGGTGTGGTCAGGGGTTCGAGACTAGCCTGGCCAACAGGATGAAACCTGTCTCTACTAAAAATACAAAAGGTAGCCAGGCATGGTGGTGAGCACCTGTAGTCCCATCTACTTCAGAGCTGAGGCAGGGGAATCACTGGAACCCAGGTGGTAGAGGTTGCCGTCAGCCAAGATCATACCACTGCACTCCAGCCTGGTCACAGAGCAAGACTCCATGTCAAAAAAAAAAAAAGAGAGACAGGTTTTGCTCCTTCCAGCTGAAAGGCAGGAGGTCATGAGGAGGACTTATGGGAGTGCCTTGGGGGTGGACCCACCATGATTTGAGTGGCCTACAGGGAATCCCCCACAAAACTAGTTTTAAAAAGGTTTGTCCAGGAAGCACATGTGGGAGCTGGCCACTAGTATGTTGAGCCCTCGTTGAAGTGTTTAGACCTTTGGAGAGAGAAACTGAGACACATGAGAGGGAAGAAATGAATCAGTGGCGAGATCCTGTGGAGTCCCACCCACAACCAGCACGCTGTGACCCACTGCACAAACCCCTAGGCCGCAGCTCACATCCTCCTTTAAAAAAAAAAAAAGAGAAAAGATGGGAAACAAATAACCTAAGAATGAGGGGAAAACAAGAAGAAGGACCCCCTGCAGGCACTCCATTGCTTTTGCGTTGCCTCTACTTGCTGGAGTTTGTGTAAAACAAAAATATATGGTCTTCGTGAGCATTAACATCAAGGTAAGAGGGCTCTAAGGTCGACTTGCAAACTGTAGAGTTCCTAATTCTCCCTTTCCCTATTTTCTTTTCTGCCTGCTTCACCTCTGCTGTTACTTTTCTACTGAGATAAAAAAACCACCGTTTAGATCCAAATATGTTTTTGCAAGCTGGTAAATTTATATTAACATCTCACGGCTACAGTTTCTAAGTAAAAGCTATAGGATGCTTGCGTGTGTGGGGGTGGGGCTGTTGTGGGTATGGGTGTTTAAAAGCCTTTACAGTAGATTTCTATATTTTATGTTTAATTGGCAATTAAATCCATTTTAATTTCCCTCTAACACACCAGACTTCTTCCTCTGTACTTTGAGATGTCAGTTTTGCTATCTGATTTTGAAGAGTTTCAAAGGGCCGGGCATGGTAGCTCACACCTGTATTCCCCGTACTTTGGGAGACTGAGGTGGGTGGATCATTTGAGGTCAGGGTGCCAAAACCAGGCTGGCCAACATGGTCAACCTCCATTTCTACTAAAATGCAAAAAGTAGCCAGGTGGTAGTGGCTCACACCTGTAATCTCGGCTGCTTGGGAGACTGAGGCAGGAGAATGGCTTGAGCTTGGGAGCTGGAGGTTGCAGTCAGCCAGGATCATGCCACTGCACTCTGGGTGACAGAGTGAGACCCTGCCTCAAAAAAAGAAAACGTTTAAAAGTTTAAGATAGAAAAAAAAGAGTTTTTATGAATCTATAAGATCTACTTCTATCAGCAGGCCTAATATGTCCATGTATCTGTGTGTTGTGTACATAAAGTTTCATTTCTAAAAATATGCAAAAGAGCTCTAATTAATTGACTTAGAGAAAGTAAAAGCACTTAAATCAAATAGTTTATCAGAAGAAAATGCTTCCTCCAGTTCACCTGACTCAAGTAAAATCTTTAATAAATAAGCTGGCTTTACAATTAGTGGTCAAATAAGATTAGAAATGTCTTAAAAATTGTCAGCATTGCTGTTTGCATTGATTGAGTCAGTGGTTTTGTGCTTATCCCTGCTGAATACTATGAGATTTGCCATCAGGTTTATAATACTATAGACCCTGCTGAGAACAGAATAATTTTTGCTTGTATAATTTTTATAAATAAGCCATGTAACATTGTTGGTTAAATGAAAAGAGCTAACTACTGAGTTACTGGTAAAAACAAAATACCCTTATATTTAACCATAAGTTTCCTTACTTAGCTAAACACCTGAAATTCATAGTTTATAACATTGGTTAACAGGGAATTAATTTTCAGTGCTGACTGTCACAGTTTTTATAAATAACCTAGGTAAACTATTAAATTAATCAAATAAATGTAATGGAATAAATGCTTGTAAACAAACTTGTCACATAATTTAGAATCTAAAGTTATATTACATAATAGGTATTAATTGACTACCTGGGTAATTTACAATTTTAAAATTATAGGAAAACATTTTTTGGGAACAATTCTTATTAAAAGATAAATATCTGTCTAATTCCAAGCTTTTTAAAAGGTTATGTATAAAACAAGGTAAAAGGAAACAGGAAATAAGAGCTGTAAAGAAAGTTATAAATATAAAGAGGAGTTTTTGGCAAAGACGATGAAAAGGAAAGTAATTTTACACAAGAAAGTATCTTATGTAGTGCAATTCTGTCCTCAAATAAAATAACTGTTTGTTCAAGAAAGAGGGATATTTAGGACAAAACAGGCAGTTTAAGCATATTCTAAATGGTCTCCTTCAGTGACAACAAGATTGGTAAAAGAAGGAACTTTCTTTTTTAAAAAAGATTGTGCAAAAAAAAAAAGGTTGTGTAATGCAGTTGGTTATGATTAAGAAAAAACTTTAATAGTCATTCTACAGATGGGTCTTTAATATTTAAAAAATACACAAGAATACAAAACGAAATACTTGGTCAAAACAAGCTTTTACTAAAATATTAACTTATTATTAATGCAAAAAGTTTTTAATGTTTAAATTCTAAAATGTGTCTTTTTTAAGTTCCTGTGATTAATATATCAAAGTTTGACTCTTTCTGTTTTGAAAAAGCCTTGGATGATAGCTTTCTCCTTCATCTTGTGTTCCTTCTGTAACTTTTATTAATTACCTGAAGAGAGGAATTTTTATTTAAAAACAGAAAAATAAAATATCTTTTAGAGCTGTGCTTTTAGTCTTCATGTCTGTTGTATCTCTATCTTTATATGTGTTATTTGGAAGTGATATTTCACCTCCAAACTACATGAAAGAGCTGATCAATTGTCTTAAAAAAAAAAAAAAGTAAATGCTTATTAGATTGGCAGAAACTGGCCCAGATGCCTTTTAATTCACATAACATTAATATTTAGTAAGATTAATTTAGCAAATTTAATCTCAAAACTCTCTCCAGTAATTTAAAATCTTAAAGCCATGTTATGGTAAACTTCGTTTTTTAAAAAAATTTTTGCTTGAAATTTGAGTTACCAAATTAAAATAATAGGAACATAAAAATGTTTTTGGTGAAGTTTATAAAATACAAGGATATGGATTTTGCGAAACAAAGGTAGATTTTTTCCTAGTTAAGAAACTATTTAAAATGAAGGAAAAAATACACAGATAAAACTATATAAAAAGAATAATTTAGCCAGGACAACAAAAGTTAACTCTGAGACCTGTGATCACCAAGAAGATAGTTGATGTGGAGGAAAGGCAAAACCAATTAACTATGAAAAGCAGAGGGTGTAATGCAAAGGAATTGTTTCACTTTGTAGATTGGTATCATCAGTTTCTTAAACAATCTATGTAGTAGATTATAAAAAACAACCACTTTAAGGTCCAAAGGCACAGGAGGTTATTCTGGAGAGAACAACTAGCTTAGTGGACCAGATAAATGCCACTTAAAGGTCTGTTTACCCTGAGAAGTGGACTAGCCAACTCTCCCTATAAAGCACCAAGTCCAGCACCCAGATGAAGTAGTTCATGTGCTTTGTATGTGAGCCATGTGGGGCAGGCGTATGAAGCACGTGAACCCAGTAACTACTAAAACCAGTCAACCGTTGGTGAACACTGAAGTTGGTTTCATGACTACGCTGTTGTAAATAGTGCTGCCACAAACATAATGAGTGCAGTTGTCTTTTTTATATAACGACTTCTTTTTTTTTTTTTTAAGCTGGATACCATGTAATGGGATTCCAAAGTGAAATGGTAGTTTTATTTTTAGTTCATTGAGATAGCTCCCTACTGTTTTCTGTGAAAGGTAAACTCAATTAAATTCCTACCAACAATGTATCCTTGCTAACATCTGTTGGTTTTGACGTCTTGAGAGTCGCCATTCTGACTGGTGTAAGTTGATACTCAGTGTGGTTTTAAGTTGCTTTTCTCTGATGATTAATCCTGTTGAGCATTTTTTAATGTGTTTGTTGGCCACTTATATTTCTTCTTTTGAGAAATGTCTGTTGATGTTGATGTGCTTTACTCAGTTTTCTAAAAATCTGTTTGTGGTTCTTTTCCATGTGGTTTTTCACGTTCATGAAGTTGTCTGTGGTTTTTTTCAGGTTGAATTCTTTGACTTCCTTGTAGATTCTGGACACTAGTCTTTTGTTGGAGGCATAATTGGCAAATATTTTCTTCTGTTGTGTAGGCTCTCTGTTCGTTCTGTTGATTGTTTCTTTTGCTGTGCAGAAGCTTTTAATTTTAATCATGTCTCATTTGTATATTTGGGGTTTTGTCGCATTTTTAAAGGGCCTTTACCATAAGTTCTTTGCCTGGGCCAATGTTTAGAAGAGTTTTTCCTGAATTTTGTTTTAGGATTTACATAGCTTCAGGGTCTCACATTGAGGTCTTTAATTTATCTTCAGTTAATTTTTCTACCTGGTGGGAGATGGGGTCCAGTTTTATTCTTTTGCATATAGCTACCCAGTTTTCCCAGCATCCTTTATTGAATAGGGTGTCTTTCTCCATTGTTTATTTTTGTTGACTTTAGCAGAGCTCAGTATGTTGTAGGCATGTAGCTTTATTTCTAGTTTCTCTATTCTGTTTCCTTGGCATCTCTGCACATTTTTGTTCTGCTAAATGCTGTTTTAGTTACTATGGCCTTGTAGTATAATTTGAAATCAGACAGTGTGATGCTTCCAGGTTTGTTCTTCTTGCATAGAATTGCTTTAGCTGTTCAGGCTAATATTTGGTTCCAAATGAATTTAAAAATTGCTTTTTCTCTAATTCTGTTAAAGAAATGACATTTGTAATTTGATAGGAATTGTGTTGAATCTATAGTATGCTTTGGGCAATCTACTCATTTTAACAATATTGGTTTTCCAATTTGTGAGCAAGGAATGTTTTTCTGTTTGGTTGTGTTGCCTACAATTCCTTTCATCAGCGTTTTGTCATTCTCTGTGTAGAGGTCTTTCACCTGCTTGGTTAAATATACTTCTCAGTGTGTGTGTGTGTGTGTGTGTTGTGTGTGTGTGTGTGTTTGTGTGTTCTTAATTTGGTTCTCGGCTTGAATGGTACTGATGTATAGATAGGCTATTGATTTTTGTATCTTGATTTTGTATACAGAGACTTTACTGAAGTCACATATTAAGTCTACAAGACTTCTGGTAGAATCTTCAGGATTTTCTAGGTATATGATCATGTCATCAGCACACACAGTTAATTTCACTTCCTCTTTTCCAATTTGGATGCACTTCCTTCTGTTGCCTCAGTGCTCTGGTGAGTACTTCTAGATTTGTGTTGAATAGGAGTGGTAAGAGTGGATATCCTTGTCTTGTTGCATTTCTTGGGAAAAATTTTCACTTCTCCCCCTTCAATTTGATGTTGGCTGAGTTTGTCATGCAGGGCTCTTATTACTTTGGGCTATGTTTCTTTTATGCCTAGTGTGTTGAGAGATGTTATCAAGAAGGGATGTTGAACTCTATTGAATAGTTTATCTGCATCTGTTGAGATGATAAAATGCTTTTTGTTCTTAGTTCAAGTTTATATCATGAGTCACCTTTGTTGACTTGCATATATGGAACCACCCTTTCATCCCTGGAATAAAGCCAACTTGATCATGATGAATTATGTTATTGATACACTTGTAGATTCCGTCTGTTAATATTTTTTGAGGATTTTTGCATCTGTATTCCTCAGGTCTCTTGGCCTGTGGTTTTATTTTTCTGTTGAGTTCTTGTCTGACTTTACTATCAGGGTGATACTGGTTTCACATAATGAGTTAGGAAAGAATCCCCATCCTCGATTTTTTGGGAATAGTTTCAGTATGATTGGTGTCAGCTCTTCTTTGTCTATATGGCAAAGGTTGTCTGTGAATCCATCTATTGCTGGGCTTTATTGCTGGAAGAAGTTTTAGTACCGATTCTTTTTCATTACTTGTTGTTGGTCTGCTTAGGGTTTCTACTTTTTCCTGTGCAATCTTGGGAACTTGTATGTGTCTAGTAATTCATCCATTTTCTCTAGGTTTTCTAGTTGATGTGCATAAAGGTGTTCACAGTCGTCTCTGATGATCTTTTGTATTTCTGTGGTGTGAGTTACGATGTCAACTTTATCATTTTTGATTGTGCTTATTTAAATCATCTCCTTTTTTGGTTAGTGTAGTCAGCCATCTGTCAATATTGTTTATACTTTCAAAAACCAACTTTATTCCATTGATTTTTTGTAATGTTTTTGTCTTAATCTCATTCTTTTTCTGTCCTTTTGGAGTTGCCATTGTTTTCAGGGTCTGATGCTAGAGAGTGAATGTGACCCTTTGGTGGTGCCACAATATTCAGATTTTTCACACATCAGAATCCTCACACTGATTCCTTCTCATCTGGAGAGGCTGCCACTCTTTCTCTTTGGATTATTTTCACTGGGATGGGGTTTCTTTGCACATTTTCCCCCAGCCCGCAGGGAGTGTGACTGTGGAGCATGTTGGGAAGGGTCTTTTGGCTTTTCTCCATCGTCTTGGGCGCTTCTGCAGCAGGGTTTGTGTTGGGCTGTGCAGTTCAAATTGCAGGCCGGGGGCTGGTGCTTAAGGGGAAGAGCCAGCCTCTGCACCAGCAGGTGGGTATGGAGCTGTCTGCTTCCTGTGAGGTGCTGTCTGTTGTTTCAGGTGAAGGGCTGGACCGTGGAGTGTCTGGAGCCCTGAGCTTCTATTCCACGGGGTGAGGAAATGCAGCTGGGCAGAGCGGAAACCCCTGGTTTGCCCACAAATACCTTAATGATGAGTGCCGGCCACAGTCCTGATGCGTGTGGCTGGGGCAGCAGGTGGGAAATGCCCTGAGGTCCCTGTTGGGGGTGAAGGGGCTACGTCGGCTTCCAGTCCCATAGGGAGGAACATTAACCATTTCCCTATCACACGCCTGCTCCAGGGCTCATGAGTCTCTGTTCAGACACACACTGTTGTCCTTCCCCAGGCCACAGTGTGACTGAGAGCCGTGGGAAACACCTGCCTGCCACTCTCCGCAGGAATCATCCTAAGGTAGACCCTCCTCACTCAGCGCAGTGCAGACCCCTCAGCGGCTGCCTGTGTCTGACGTCGTCACACTGCTGCTTCATGTAGCTGGGATGTGGGGCTTCTGCCTTTCTGGCTGGACAAGTGGACGTCAGTTGTGGTGTTGCTGGCTGGGGGGATCCAACCTCAGGCCCTGGGGTGAGTGGTCAGGTGCCAGCAGAGTGGGAAACGGCTGGCAGTTCCCCTGATCACAGGCCTCTAGGTGACCAGCTGGACGGCGTTTGGGATTCCTAAAGGGGCTGTGCTGGGATTCGGCTCTTCCAGGGCTCAGGAGCCGGCTGTGATGAGGAGCGATGGGCCGGTCCCCAGGTCACCGGCAGAACTCTCAGGTGGGGCAGGCAGAACACTCAGGTGGTAGAGCCCAGGGGCAGATCACAGGCCTGTGGAGACTGGGCTATCAGAAGAGCTGGGGGCTTCGGCTGAAATGTCCATGTTGGGGCATGGCGGCTGTGCGGTGGGTCTGTGACTGGAGAGGGCAGGGCCCCTTGGCCGGGGCACTGGAGACTGGCAGCTGTGGGGCACAGGGCCCGCTCACACTTCCCTCCTGAAGAAGTGGCACTCAGTTTTGCTCTGGGGACAGGCAAATGTGCCAGGTCTCCCTACTCCCTCCCTGGGCCTGGGGCAGCAGGGGCCGAGGCAGAGGTGGCAGTGAATTCAAAGGGCTTGTCAGGGGCCTCTGAGCATTGGGCTTTCAGAGGGCACACAGCCAGGGCCACAGTGTTCAGATGGGGGCAGGACGGGTGCACTGGGGCCCTGAAGCTGGCAAGCCCCATTTAGCAGGAAGGAAGCCCCGTTTAGCAGGAAGGAAGCCCCATTTAGCAGGAAGCAACAGAAGTGAGGGAGCCATTGGGTGCTCAGCTTGGCTGCTTCTGTGGCCCAGCTGTCATATTTATCCTGGGAGCCCAGAGAGGGCTGGCCTCCTCCCTCCCTGCTAAGGCAGCGGCAGCTGGACCCAGTCTGCTCAGCGATCAGAAGCCTGTGGGATTCCATGTGGGCTCCGGAGGCACCTCTGCCAAATCTCCAGGAACTCCTTGTGTGCCTCTGCAGGCCAAGGTGGGTCAGGGGCTCTTCTGTGAGCAGGATTGTAAAGGGCCAAGACAGGGGTGTGGATCCCAGGGGCCTCACACCCACTCACGCCTTCCCAGTGTTAGGGAGCCTCTCACCCACTCACCACTTCTCCATGTTAGGGAATCTGTCACTCACTCACCACTTCTCCATGTTAGGGAATCTGTCACTCACTCACCCCTTCCTCATGTTAGGGAATCTGTCACTCACTCACCACTTCTCCATGTTAGGAACCTCTCCTGGCTCTCAGCTTTTCTTCCCCGTGCTTTCCATGTCCTCATCGTCTGCTGAGCCCCAGTGCGCTCTCTTAGAAGATCCCTTTGGTATTTTGGTATTTACTCAGCATTTTGATTCCTCTTAACGAGAGAGGCACATGCCAGCTGCTTCCATTCAGCCCACTTGAACCTGACCCCAGTCATTTTTTCCACGACTTTTTCCTTTGGGAAATCCAGTCCCAATGTGCTTGTCATTCATTTCAGAATAATTTTTATTTTCTCCAGTAGTTTTAAAATTACTTTTTATTTATTCTAAATATCCTTCACTCTACCATAGTGAAGACATTAATTTCATTTATGAATTTGTGCACATTAAGCTTATGTTCTTTCTTCATTTCTGTAAAAATGTCAACTATTTTCTTTGCAGGTATTTACTAACATGCTCCTTGTTTCCTTCGTTCTGAAAGTGTGACACACAGAGAGAGATCTGTTCTCTCCTGTCATTCTATTTCTTGTGTGCATTAATTATCTTTTCTATTTTTTTTTGATTTCTAAGGTTTCTCTGATGACTTATGAAAATTTTAGTAATATCCTACACCAATATAATATTTATCATTTTAGCTGTGTCTTGTTCTTGATGAAATTATTTCTAAATATGTTACTATAACGTACTATTTTTCATCTCACAATATCTATCCGATTCATTTCTATAATTGCCTGTTTTTTCTCTAATGGATTCTGTGATTTTCATTCCTCTGGGGTGGTTTCATCTCACACACCTGATCTTCCATACAGAGTTTCTCCTAGGGCTGACTCAGGAACGAAAACTCCTGAGGTATTGCTGTAGCCACTCCTGCCCTGCAGTGTCCACGCTCCCAAGCTTAGAATCAGCTCCGTGACATGCCCGGCACGGCGGGGCCCATGTGAGCCTCACACCCATGTGCGAGAGATGTCTGGTCCAACAATGATAAAGCACTTCTGTGTCATGTGCACCCGGGGGAGGTGGCTCAGTGCTGAGTGTGGCCCAGGTCACTGAGCAGAGCTATCCCAGATTCTGTCCACAAACACAGAAGAGGGGGAGCCACGGTCTCCCTAGGGTCCCACGGTTTCCTCCACTTTTTTCTTTGTTCTGAGAGACAGACAAAGTGCCATGACTGCTCTGTGAGCTGGACTGATGCATGTTTTACCTGCAGACTTGAACTCAAGCTGAGGTCTTGAACATTCCTAGGTACTGATAACGCACCTTAGGCGGTTTCTAGAAAACACTGAAAAATTAACCCTTTTGCTAATGATGTAGAAACAAGCCCTGCCCTGAACCAAACTCCTGAAATCCTCAGGTTAAACTTCATTACCCAATCCCCTCACTGCAGACACCCAATAGAAAAGTCACAGATGCAGGATGAGATGACTCATTATTAAAAGGGGGAAGTTGAGAAGGGAACTATTTTGTTGAAAGAAAACCCACAATCCAGTGCCAGGAAAGAAGTCAACTTTTCTTCCTATTTCCCTGCATTTCTTCTCTGTGCCCACGGCCACATGCAGCTCAGCCTGGACTGCACGGCCAGGTGTCAGGTGTGTCTCTGCTGACCTGAGCCTGCCTGCTGCATGGACCTGCATCTTCCCTGAAGCTTCTCCAGGGCTGGAGAGATGACAGCTATGGTAATGCCCCTGCACTGCTGTGCTGATGGACGGGGTGAGGGAGGGAGGGAGACCCCATGGGGAGGCTGTGAGAAGGAAGGGGAAGCCTTTGCTCACCCTCATCTGGAAGGGCAGATGCAGAAAAGCACCAGTTCTATTTGCTGCTACATCCCAGCTCCCAGTGAGATTAAAACAAACCAGACAGACAGTGGCTGGGGGTCAGGAAAGACCCCATTACAGTCTGAAATGTCTGCAGAGGGGTTGGGCCCACCCCCACCTCAGCCCTAAAGGAATGAGAGCCAGGCTCCTGGGGAGGGCAGTTCTGCTTCCTGTGTGGCTGCAGATGACACAACCCCATGACAAGAAGACCTAGCCTCCAAGTGTCCACACCCTATGTGTCTCTGTCCTGCCAGCACCGAGGGCTCATCCATCCGAAGAGCAGGGCAGTGGGAGGAGACGCGATGACCCCCATTCTTATGGTCCTGATCTATGTCGGTGAGATTTGAAGAGGGAAGGGAGATTCTAACCTAGGAGGGACCTCACCCCACAGCCAAACTCTGGTCCATGAGGAGACCCCAGGGCTCACAAAGACCCCTGGGAGGGGAGGACCTACTCAGGCTTCAGAGGCAAATGTCTCACAGGGAACTCTCTTCTAGGGCTGAGTCTGGGCTCCAGGACCCACGTGCAGGCAGGTGAGTCTGTCCCTAGCTGGCCCAGGTCCTTCTCCTCACTGGGGACAAGGCCCACCCCCGTGCAGCTGAGGAGGGGAATAGCAGTTCTGGGGTGACTGATGGGGGTCTGGAGGGTCCTGGGCTGAGATCTGTTGGGTTGGGTGGAAATGACTTAGAATCTGACCTCTGCTTTCCTGCCAGGGACCCTCCCCAAGCCCACCTTCTGGGCTGAGCCAAGCTCTGTGATCACCCAGGAGAGTCCCGTGACCCTCAGGTGTCAGGGGAACCTGGAGACCCAGGAGTACCGTCTACATCGAGAAAAAACATCAGCATCCTGGATTAGGCAGATCTCACAGGATCTTGTGAAGAAGGGCCAGTTCCCCATTCAGTCCATCGCCTGGCAACACACAGGGCAATATCGCTGTCAGTATCGTGTACACACTCGATGGTCAGAGCTCAGTGACCCCCTGGAGCTGGTGATGACAGGTGAGAGACACTCAGGGGTCCCAGCCCCAGGCTCTGCCCTCAGGAAGGGGCTTTGCACTCAGGGACATCTCCCTCTCACAGCCCAGCCCTGGGGATGATGTGGGAGGTGTGAGCCCCACTTGACACGGTGCCTCCTTCTCTTCTAGGATATTACAGCAAATCCACCCTCTCAGCCCTGCCCAGCCCTGTGGTGACCCCAGGAGGAAACGTGACCCTCCAGTGTGGCTCACAGGTGGCATTTGATGGCTTCACTCTGTGTAAGGAAGGAGAAGATGAACATCCACAACGCTTGAACTCCCAGCCCTGTACCCGTGGGTCATCCCGGGCCGTCTTCTCCGTGGGCCCCGTGAGCCCGAGTCGCAGGTGGACGTACAGGTGCTATGGTTATTACTCTCGCTCTCCCTATGTGTGGTCTTTACCCAGTGATGTCCTGGAGCTCCTGGTCCCAGGTGAGAAATTCACAGCATTGTCTGGAGATCCCTGAGTCTCCAGGCAGGTGGGGAGGAGCTGTGTCTCAGGGCAGCTCCAGGTGGGACAATGTTGGGGTGAGAGGGCTCAGGGCTCCTGGGCCAGAGACACAGGAAGATCTGCAGTGGTGAGGCCGGGGGAGAGGGAGGACTTGTGGGGAGCCTGAGGGTCGGCTCCTGGAGACCATGACCACCTTTCCCAGGTGTTTCTGAGAAGCCATCACTCTCAGTGCAGCCGGGTCCTGTCGTGGAGCCTGGGGAGACCCTGACCCTCCAGTGTGGCTCTGATGTCGGCTATGACAGGTTCGCTCTGTACAAGGATTGGGGACCTGACCTCCTCCAGCGCCCTGGCCGGCAGCTCCAGGCTGGGCTCTCCCAGGCCAACTTCACCCTGAGCCCTGTGAGCCACTCCCACGGGGGCCAGTACAGATGCTCCGGTGCCCACAACCTCTCCTCCGAGTGGTCGGCCCCCAGTGACCCCCTGGACATCCTGATCGCAGGTGAGGAGCCCAGCGGGTTCAGTCAGGGACCCAGGCTCTGCACAGGCCCTGCCAGGAAGCCCAGGTGGTGATGGCCAGGATGAGGGGTGGGGGTCCCAGGGGAGGGAGAGACAGACAGAGACAGAGGATGGGTGGGGAGGGGGAGACTCAGAGAAAACAGAGACAGAGACTGAGGGTCCCAGAGAGAGGCCTGGGGAGGTCTCAGCTCAGAACAAGGTGGGGCAGCCCCTCACCCATCCTCTTCTCTCCAGGACAGTTCCTTGACAGACCCTCCCTCTCAGTGCAGCCGGGCCCCAGGGTGGCCTCAGGAGAGAACGTGACCCTGCTGTGTCAGTCACAGGGGTGGATGTACACGTTCCTTCTGACCAAGGAGGGAGCAGCTGATGCCCCCGTGCGTCTAAGATCAAAGTACCAATCTGATAAATACCAGGCTGAATTCCCCATGAGTCATGTGACCTCAGCCCACGCGGGGACCTACAGGTGCTACGGCTCATACAGCTCCATCCCCTACCTGCTGTCTCACCCCAGTGAGCCCCTGGAGCTCGTGGTCTCAGGTGAGGGCCCTGACCCTGTCCTCTCTGAGCTCAAGGCTCAGCTCAGGCCCTGCCCCAGGAGAGCTCTGGGCTGGGATGGAGGGAGGGGGTGTGAAGGAGGCTCAGCCAGAGAGGCCTCAGCCCTCAGAGGGAAGGAGGACAATGGGGCCCTCCCAGGCACAGACCCTCAGCAGCATCGCCAGCATTGTGAAGAGGAGAGGTGGGTGGGGGAGGGGACTGGAGGGCCACAGGGCCAACGTGGAGAAATTTGGTTTGAGGTGGAGGCTTCAGGCAAGACCCAGCTCCTCCGCCTCCTCTCATTCTTTACCCAGGACCCTCCAGGGGACCCAGCCCCCCACCCACTGATCCCACCCCCACACCTGGTGAGTAACTGAGGCCTCATGTCTGGGAGGGAGTGCGGCCTCCCCCAAGGCAGTCCCGAGTCTCCCAGAGGATCATGTTCCCCTCAAGGACTCAGCACAGACTTCTCTCCAGAGAGCTGGGCAGAGACAGACGGGGGCACAGGCTCCCAGGGCTCTGCGGCTGGGCTGCTGAGGGACAGGGTGTCGAGGTAGAGGGAGATGTTGGGGCCCAGCCTGGGGGAGGAGCAGCTGGGCTGATGTGGGGAGAAGGACAGCCCTAGCCCTCACCTCTGCGTCCGGACCCAGGAGGCCCTGGGGACCAGCTTGTCACTCCCCCGGATTTAGATCCCCAAAGTGGTGAGTGAGGGTCTCTGAGTGGCAGGTGGCCAGGGTCCAGGGGAGGCAAGGGTGGGTTCTGTCACTGGATTAAGGCTCCTCTGGAGATGGTGACATGGACAGGCCCCTCCCCCACCTGGGCCTCAGTTTCTCCAAGTGTAAAGGAGAGAGGCCTGTGGGGTGGGAAAGTTCCTTTCAGCTCTGACTCCCAGCTGTGACCTCCTGGGGGAGGAGGCCTCCCAGGGAAGCCTCCAGACCCGATTCCACAGGGGCCTGTCCTGTCCCACCTGCAGCAGTGACGGTGACCTGGGGCAGGGAAGGGGAGCAGGGCCGTGGTTCAGGAGGTCAGGCTCTTTCCCTGCAGCTCCTAGGCTCAGCTCAGGTGCAGGGAACAAGGGCTGCAGGTCAGACTCCCAGGTTCCCTTCCCAGCTATGCTGCTGCCTAGCTGGGGGACCTGGGGCAGGCAAGTCCCCTCTCTGAGGCTGTTTTTCATCTGTAAAGTGGGTGGGATGGATGTGTCAATTTGATGGTGCACGACTGTTGTGGGGGTTGGAGGTGGTGAATAAGAGGCCGAGCAGTTACCTGCACACAGTAGGTGCTCAATCAGTGGTGTGATGACCCCATTCCTGACGTCATTGTACTCAAGGTCTGAGAAAGCACCTGATGGTTGCGACCGGGGTCTCAGTGGCCCTCGTCCTGCTGCTCTTCCTCCTCCTCCTCTTCCTCATCCTCCGACGTCGACATCAGGGCAAACGCTGGACATCTGGTGAGTACAGAAGGGGGGACCCCATGGGCCAACCAAGGGTGGGCTCAGGGCACCAGCCAGAGGGAATCCAAACCGCTGGGAAAATGCAGCTTTGAGAAAGTGTTCTAGCATTTCTCACCAGGCAAATCGAGAAAGCACTTCATGTCAGTCCCCACATACAAATGTAAAGTGTCCTTCGGGCTCTCTCCATCTGAGACATTTGGAGCATGGAGGCAGGAGTGTTTCCAGGTTTCCTTCCTTACCTTTGAGCTGCGTGTGCAGGGCAGGTGTTCCCAGGGCTGAGACTCTGTCCTTCTTCACACAGCCCAGAGAGAGGCTGATTTCCAACATCCTGCAGGGGCTGTGGAGCCAGAACCCACAGGCAGAGGCCTGCAGAGGAGGTAATTCTGCCCGAAGACCCCAGACTCCCACCCACCCCGGCCCATACACTGCCCCTAAAGCTCCCCTGTCCTCTCCTAGGTCCAGCCCGGCTGCCAACACCCAAGAAGAAACCCTCTGTGAGTGAGCGGAAGAGGTGACCCCAGCCAGGAGGGAGATGGGGGCACATAGTTTCCATAGCAATGGGAAAAGGGCACAGGCTGGAAGGGGTCTGGGGCTCAGGGTGACAGGATCTCACCCCACACTGTGGGACCTCGGGACATCACAGCCCCTCCCTGGATCTCAGCTGCCCCATCTGGGAGCTGGGCAGGGGCTGGCGGGGCTGAGAGGTCCCAGGGAACCTTCCCAGGAGATAAACTCCTTGCTTTGCCCCAGCAGATGCTGCCGTGAAGGAGACACAGCCTGAGGATGAGGTGGAGCTGGACACTCAGGTGAGACCCCGCCCCTGTCCCGGGCACCAAAGGCCTCCTGGTGCTGGATCTAACCCAGCAGGACTTCTCTGTCCTCCTTCCCCGGCTCTCAGCACCATCCAGGGTGGACCCTCTGTGTCCAGCACGCTGCCTCCCGCCTGCTGTGACCTCACTCTCTCCTGGTGTCCTGGGACTTTGTGGGCCTCCTCCCGGGTGCCCTTCCTGCTCCTCATCCTCTGTTCGGCCGTCTAGTTGTTAGAGGGCTCCCCAGGCCTCGGGAGGATGAGGGATCAATGAACCACCCCAGTGCCCTGGGCTCCCCTTCATTCATTCATCCAGCGAGTGTTCCCAGGAGCTCACTGCGGATGGGGCTACCCGTGGGAGCTGCAGACACTACAGGGAGCAAAGCCGCCCCCACCCTCCTGAGCTCACCTCATGGTGGGAGACAAAATGCAGATAAACGCACAGTGTCCAGGAGTGCGACGTGCTGTGAGGAAAATAAACCAGGGAAAGGGCAGAGAGTGTGGGGCAGTGGGGCCAGTCTGAATGGTAAGGGGAGGGCTGTCTGGTCAGCTGTCATCTGAGAAGCCTGGACGGAGAGGGCCACACCATCCTCTAATGGACGAGCCCCTGCAGGCAGAGGAAACAGCAGTGCAAAGGCCCCGAGGCAGCAGTGAGCTCTTGCGGGAAGGCAGGCGTGAGGCTGCAGCCAAGTGGGCAAGGTCAGAGTGAGGAGGAGAGGTCAGAACTGCAGGGAGGGAGCAGCCAGACCCTCCACGGCCTTCAGAGTGAGGAGGAGAGGTCAGAACCGCAGGGAGGGAGCAGCCAGACCCTCCACAGCCTTCAGAGTGAGGAGGAGAGGTCAGAACCGCAGGGAGGGAGCAGCCAGACCCTCCGCGGCCTTAGCGCATCCCTGAAATTCCATCAGGAAAGGAATGTAAATGGATCACTCTGGGAACAGTGGGAAAACTGACTCCAGGGGGTCAGGGGGACTCAAGGACACCCCCCACCACTGTCTCTCCAGCAAAGCCCACATGATGAAGACCCCATGCAGTGACCTATGCTAAGGTGAATCACTCCAGACCTAGGAGAGAAATGGCCTCCCCTCTTTCCCCTCTCTGGGGAATTCCTGAACACATGGGACACACAAGCAGAAAAGGACAGGCAGGACAGTCAGCAGGTCCTTTCCTCTCTCTCACCCCCACCACGGTCCTTTCCTCTCATTCTCCCGCCTCTGCAGGCTGCTGCATCTGAAGCACCCCAGGATGTGACCTATGCCGAGCTGCGCAGCTTGACCCTCAGGCGGGAGGCAACTGAGCCTCCTTCGTCCCAAGCAGGGGAACCTCCAGCTGAGCCCAGCATCTATGCCACTCTGGCCATCCACTAGCCCAGGGAGGACCCAGACTCTACACACCATGAAGACTCAGGACCCCAGAAGGCATGGAAGCTGCCCCCAGTGGGCACCATTGAACCCCAGCCAGCCTGGACCACTAACATAGACCACCAGAAGATTCTGGGAACTTTGGGAGTCACCTGATTCTGCAAAGATAAATAGTATCCCTGTATTATCAAAATAAAGAAGCAGGCCTCTCAGTTCACAATGAGTTAACTGGTAAAACAAAACAGAAGTCTGAAAATGTTTTTAAATTGATTGATCATGTAAATATTACATATCAAACCAATGACATGGGAAAATAGGAGCTTCTAATGAGGACAAACAAAAAATAGAGAAAAAGTAATAAAGTCAAAAGGTTTATTCTCGAAAACATTAATGATACATGAATCTTGGCCACAATGAGGGGAAAAAAAAAAAAAGAGCAGGCACACATTTCCATACAGGAACAAAATAGGAGGCAGCACTGCAGACCCTACACACAGCTTTACAAAGGTGAAAGAAAACTGAGTAATTCTGCACTGACATAACAGAAAATGCAGATGGGATAGATGAAATATTCAAAACTACAGTTTATTTAATGAACTTAAGGATACATAGAAAATCTGAATCATCATATGTAAACATATATAAAATGTACTAATCCTGTAATCAAAAATGTTCCCACAAAGTAAATGTCACTTCAGGAAGGTTTGTTGGTGGCTTTTTCAAACACTCAAGACACACACACACACACACACACACACACACACACACACACCCCATACCCCAAACTTGCCTAAATTTTCCCTGAGAATATTTTGTATATATTTACACAAATAAATTTTATCAGACTAGGAACAAATTTATACCAAAACCTGACAAGGAAACTACAAAATGGGAAAGGCATAGAAGGTCTCTCAAAGAAATTTAAATCCCTTAACAAATATTAGCAAGTAAGATTCATGTCTCTATAAAATAGACGATATATCATGACCACACTGGTTTTATTATTTTTTTATTTTGTTTATGAAAAGCAAGGGTAGCTCAGGGGAGGCATAGCAGGGGGTGGGGAGGTTGGGGAGGGATAACATTAGGAAAAATACCTGATGTAGGTGACGGGGGGTGGAGGCGGCAAACCACCATGGCATGTGTGTACCTGTGTAACAATCCTGCAAGATCTGCACATGTACCCCAGAGCTTAAAGTAAAATAAAAAAAACTCAATCAATGTAATTCAATGTTTTAACAAAATTAACACAAATTATCAACTCAATAGACAAAGCTTTTGTCTTAGCACTTTTTCATATACATGCTGACCATTTGTATGTCTTCTTTGCCTGTGTTTCAAGTAGTTTTTGGTTTCTTGCTGTTTTGTTGTTTTAGTTCCTCATATACTTTTGAATATTAGCCCTTTATTAGGTATAGAGCATGAAACTATTTTCTCCCATTTCTGCATTGTCTCTTTATTCTGTTGTTTGCTGTGCAGACGCTGTTTAGTTTGAAGCCACTCCCTTTGTCTATTTTTGCTTTTGTTGCTTGTGTTTTCAGGGTCATATCCAAAAAACCTTGCCCAAACCAACTTTTTGAAGCTTTTCTTCTGCCTGTTTTGTATATGGGATAAGATAAGGGTTGATTTCATTCCTCTTCATATGAATATTCCAGGATGTGACCTGTGCCCAGCTGCACAGCTTGACCCTCAAACAGGAAATAACGAAGCCTCCTTCCTGCCAGGAAAGGGAACCTTCAGCTGAGCTGAGCCTGTATGCTGCTCTGACCATCCACCTGCCTAGGGAGGATCCAGACCGCCACACTCCATGGAGACTCACTTCTCCCAGGACCATTTATCCAAAATGACTGCCCTCTCTCTATTGTATGTTCTTGGAACCTTTGTTGAGAATCAGCTCATCATAAACGTGTGTGTTTCATTCTTTGTTTTCATCCCTGTGGCACTGATCACTGTACCCGTTTCTATGCCAGTTCCATGCTGCCTTGATTGTTGTAGCTCTGTAAGATATTTGGGGATTCCGTAGTGTGATGCCTCCTTTTTCCCGTTGCTCCAGATTGTTTTGGCTATTTGGGGTCCTTTTGTAGGCCCATTCAAATTTTAGGATTTTTTTCTACTTCTGTGGAAAATGACCTTGGAATTTTGATAGGGATTGCATTGAGTCTGCAGGTATAAACTTTTTTTTAAGTTCCAGGGCACATGTGCAGGACGTGCGGGTTTGTTACATAGGTAGGCATGTGCCATGGTAGTTTGCTGCACCTATCAACCCATCACCTAGGTATTAAGCCCAGCAAGCATTAGCTCTTTTTCCTAATGCCCTCCCTCCCTTCATTCCCCACTCTTCCCCCACAGGCCCCAGTGTGTGTTGTTCCCCTCATTTTAATATAAACATTTTAACAATATTAATTCTTGCAGACCATGAACATAAGCTACCTTCTGATTTATATAGGTCTTCTTCAATTTAATTCACCAATATTGTGAAGTTTTCCGTGCAGAGATATTCAACCTCCTCGGTTAAATTTTGTCAACCAGTTACTGGCTGGTTGTTTTGCCCGTTAATTGACATGGCTCCTTCATTATGTCATTATTTTTACCATTTGGTCCGTTTTTGTGGTGGCCGGTACTGGTTGTTCATTTCCCTGTTTAGTACTTCCTTCAGTAGTTCCTTTAAGGCAGATCTTGTAGCAATGAAATCTCTCAGCAGTTGCTTGTCCATAAAAGATTTTATCTCTCCTTCACTTATGAAGCTTAGTTTGGCTGGATATGAAATTCTGGGTTGAAACTTCTTTTCTTTAGGGATGTTGAATATTGGCCCGACTCCCTTCTAGCTTGCAGGTTTTCTGCCAAGAGTCTGATGGTCTTTCCTTTGTGGGTGACTCAATCTTTATCTCTGGCTGCCCTTAGGATTTTTTTTTCCCTCAATTCAACCCTGGTGAATCTGACAACTATGTGCCTTGGGGGTTGCTCTTCTTGAGGAATATCTTTGTGGTATTCTCTGTATTTCCTGGATTTGAATGTTGGCCTGCCTTGTTAGGTTGGGAAAGTTCTCTTGGATAATATCATGAAGAGTGTTTTCCAACTTGGATTCATTCTCCCCGTCACATTCAGGTATGCTGATCAAGCATACCTGATTAGGTGTTTTCACATAATCCCATAGTTCTTGGAGGCTTTGTTCATTTCTTTTCACTCCTTTTTCTCTAATCTTGACTTCTCGTTTTATTTCATTGATTTGATCTTCTATCTCTGATATCCTTTCTTCTGCTTGATCGATTCGGCTGTCCACCCTTGTGTATGCCTTTTGAAGTTCTCCATCAAGTTGTTTATATTCTTCTCTAAGCTGGTTATTCTAGTTTGCATTTCTTCTAACCTTTTTTCAAAGTTCTTAGTTTCTTTGCATTGGGTTAGAACACGGTCCTTTAACTCAGAGACGTTTGTTATTGTCCACCTTCTGAAGCCTGCTTCTGTCAGTTCTTCAGATCCTTTCTCTGTCTTTTCTTGTTCCCTCGATGGTGAGGAGTTGTGATCCCTGGGAGGAGAAGCGGTGTTCTGTTCTTTGATGGTTTCATCCTTTTCTGCTGGTTTTTCCCCATCTTCGTGGATTTATCTCCCTTTAATCTTTTTTTTTTTTTTTTTTTGAGCGCCACAATGCCCAGCTAATTTTTGTATTTTTTTTAGTAGAGACGGGTTTCACCATGTTGGCCAAGATGGTCTCGATCTCTTGACTTCATGATCCGCCCGCCTCGGCCTCCTAAAGAGCTCGGATGACAAGCGTTCCGTTTAAGCTTTGAAGTTGGTGATTTCAGGAGGAGTCTGTGAGTGACGTTTTTCTGTTGAGGTTGGAGCTGTACCTTTTTTGGCCTGTAGAGGGCGGTGCTGGGCTCTCGGGCTCCGTCAGGTTGCTGGGTGGGTGGGCCTTCCCTGGAGATTGTTTGCAGGTGAGTTGGGCCCCGCCTTCCCGATGGCGCCTCCCAGAGCTCCGGCTTCCTGGTTGGGGTCCGGCTGGTGTATTTGCGGCCCAGTCTAGCCAGGGCTTCAGTTTGAGCTCTGTGGAGGTGCGGCGGTCTGTTTCCCTGCTTTCATCCCTGCGTCCCTCTGTGGGACGGTCAGTCCTGCTGGCCTTAGTCCAAACTCCGCCCAGGTCCCTGCGACAACTTGCCTCGCTCCGAGGTAGCTGCTGCTCAGGTTTGCAGGGACCACCCACAGCGCCCCACCGTCTGGCGCGGCTCTCGTGGACCGTGGGTTGCAGGAGAGATGAGGTAAGCACAGGACCCGAAACGGAGCACCGAGGGGGTTAAGTCCCCCAACCCTCCGAGCCAGCTGCACATTTCAGGTGGGGACGTGCCCCCCGCCCTGTCTTGATTTGCCCCCCTGGGCAGCCCTCGCCCTGCGGCTCCTTCTCTGGGCCTATTTTGGGGCCCTATCAGTCCCCCAGAAACGAACCTGGCAGCTTGTTTGGAATCGTGAAGTCCCCTAGCCCTCTGAGTCTCATTGCGGGGAGCTGCATTCCGGTGCTGGCTTCTTTGCCATCGTGGCACCCCCCCCACCCCATTCTCACTTCTTTTTCTAAACAGGTAACAAGTTATCTTCAGCTTGCACCCCTCTGTAATGCACTCTAAACCCTGGAACTTCCTTCACCTCAAAACTTTAAAAAGAAGGGACTCATTTTCTTATGCACAAGGGCATGGCGTCTTTACTGAACCTTTGCAAGTGTTGTAAAAACAACCCAGCTGTTTTACCAATCATATCAGGCAGGGAAATAGTTCTCCAAATTAGAAGGGCAACTTTCAGGGGAACTATTGAATAACCTCCCTTGTCTGAAGCCCCCTCAAGTTCCCTTCTCATTACAGAAGCTTAGGCAAATAAACGGAAACTTAGGCCAATTTTCTAAAAATCCTCATAGGTATATAAAACTTTCCAAAATTTAACTCAGGTGTTTAACTCCTGGAGGAATGTTATTTTGCTCCTAAACCAAACCCTAAGAGCAGCTAAAAAGCAGGTAAGTCTGCAAACAGCAAATAATTTTAAAAATAAGCAATATATCTTCTATCATACACTAAAAGGGGGGAAAAACAGATAGGGAAGGCAAAGAAATAGCAGAAACACCATTTCCAATAGGGAGGAAAGCAGGTCAGGTAAACAACCATAACTAGGGCCGGGCGTGGTGGCTCACACCTGTAATCCAAGCACTTTGGAGGCCAAGGCAGGCAGATTACCTGAGGTCAGGAGTTCAAGACCAGCCTGACCAACATGGTGAAACCCCGTCTTAAAAAAAAAACAAAAACAAAAACCCATAACTAAAACCCCATAGCTCAGAAAATAAGTGGAAAAAGAGGCACTTTTTAATATGCATTTAAAAAGGCCTACGGAAAACCAGGGCCAAACCTCTCGATCACTCTAAACTGTCTATAATGGGCCAAAAG